TGATCATTTCCTTTATTCTTGTGACCTTAATGTGTGATTCAGGAGTGATATTGTAAGGAGAAATTAAATTTTAGTCACTCTTAGGGTCAAAGGTTTAAAGGAACCTATTAGAAAAGGGAGACTGTGTTTAAACTTTTAGTAATCTGTGAGGCAGCCAGATATGTTGCTCAATCCCTCAAGAGTTACTAAAAATTAGCAATTTGAATTGACTTAAATGTGAAAAATCTGCTCAGAGAACCATCAACAACTCGATCATCATCATCATCTTTGTATCAACTATGATTATTTCCATTGTGTCAAATTCCCATAGAGTGAAAATCTATGAAAAAAATGCTCTTATCTGCTTCTGTATCCTCTCCAAGGTAAGGCTCTTACTTCATAGGTAGGGATATAAAAAAGTGAAAATTGCTATTTGCCAGAAATACAAAAAAGTATATTTCTTCAAAGTGAAATGTTATGCCTTCAGTTACTTGTAAAATATTTTACAGATCATTATTTATGTTTTATAATTAATGAAATGAATGTATTTGGTCTCTTTTGGTCTGAAGGTTTTCCATGTGACTGCATACTTCTATTATAATTACAAAAACAGTTTTTTAACTTAATAAATTTCTGCTATCAGTAAATTCAGTTTGATTGTTTCTGTGGCTTTATGGCTGCTCATCTCACATGGGAAATGATCTATGCCATATACATTCTCTGTTTTTGCCTGTTTTCACTACCAGGAGTGTAAGGCTTAGATATTGTGGACAAATAAAAAATACTTTTTCAATCAAAGGACCCCCACCTCCCCTAGCTATGCCCTTGAACCTGTTAAAATAAAGATGGTGCTCCAATAGTGATGAAAACCCCTTTAAGGGTAGGTTTAGCTAAAGGTTTCCTTGTAACTGATCAATCTCAAAGAATATGTGATCATTTTCAAAATAATTTTCATTTCTTGGCTCCTTATGGACATTTTTTGGATCACTCTGTCTGTGATAACTCCATCCATTTAGTTGAGCGTTCCGCCCGTCCCGGTTGGGGTTTCCTATACCAACCATTACCCATTCCTATTTTACCCTTAGCTCCCACAGATATGATTAAAAAGTAATTAACCTCTTGAGGTTTTATTTTATCAACTTCCTTGATTTTAAAACTAAGCATTAGCTTTTAGGGGGATAGACAATCTTTCTTTGGCGTTTCTGTTGAAATTTCCCTCACATCACTCTTAGTTTCCCTTCTGGATCAACGTGTTTCCTTTTTATCTTCTTCATCGGTCA